CCACTGGAGAGATTGGGAGTTTTGAAGTGTACCCTTAGGGTAACCACAACCACTCTATGGTCAGTTCTTTAGGATGCAGGTTGTAGTGCGGTATCAGGAGCCAGAAATCCTCAATCTCTTATATCTAGCAAAGTCCCAGAGGAGGCTATTCTTGCTACTGAGATCAGTACCTGAGCCTTGGAGACCGACAGACATCTCATAGCCAGCTTGATTATAGCTGGATGCTGCATTGAAATCGCCCAGTATAAAGTGAATGTCTTGCTGGGGACATTTGCCTGGGAGCATACATAGCAATGAGGCAGAAATCCAAAAGCATGCCTCTGTCTCAGTGCCATAATACGCTCATCAACCGGCATTATATCGACTGCCAGTAGTTGAAGTCCGCTTGAGATGGTGACCATTACACTGGCCTGACCAGTAGTAGGTACCTACCCATACTGATCGTGCTTTTGCCAGATCTCACCTCTAAGAGGGCAGCCACCTCAACTTCAGCTGCTTCAGTTCCCTTCATAGCAGGGGTAACCCCTTATCCAATAGCTTGCCCAAGGTTAAGCCTCAGCCAGTCGCTTCAGGTGGATGCCACCTCTGTCTCCCCCTCCAACACTGCCCCATATAAAGTAGGCTCTGGTGCCCAACGACTGAATGTGGGGTTCCCCAAAGGCCTCATACTGGGTTGGCACCTGCCAGGGCACAGGCAAGTAACTCTCATTCCCATCCTATGCCCCAACATACACCCTCCAAATGGGACCTGCAGCCTGCCTCACTTGCTGAGTGGGAGGGGCAGTACCCCTCCCCCAGCATTTCCATTTATGTAAGATGTTGACAGTGAGTTTTATCTGGGGTAAGACTGGCAAGGCTCACCTCCCCCAAGCCACCCTTTAACTCCAGGGGGGCTGAGGGACAGGAGTTATTACAAAGCCAGGGTATGTCCACAAGCCAGTTGGCCATGGCTCTCTACCTCTGGGGCCTCCCGCTGCTCCGAGATCTCCACAGTTTAGCCTGCGACTGCAAGGTACCCAGCTTCCTTGAGTGGCCACAAGGAGACACTGCAGAAGTGTCATGAACTGGTTGAGGAAGCTTATGCATAGCTGCTCCCTTTTTCACACTAGGATAGTGTAGCAGCATGATCCCGCAACCTGAAGTTCAGCGTAGTTTCCCAGGTTGGATCACTGCCATATCTGCACTTATTGGACAGCGGGCTCCCCTTCTTCCCTGTGCACTTACACAATGCACATGTACTTAAGCCGCAGAATCTGGAAATGAGATCAGCATTTCCTGATCCTCCAGCGGAACATGACAACAGCAGCAGCAACAGCAACAGAAGTCCTTAGCCAACTGGGGATCTCCCAGCTCCCCCTTTGTTCTCCAGCCACTTCACCTAAACCACTCAGCCATACCTGTGGGCACTTTCACCCACACAGATAATCCATAAATAGACAAGTCCAAATAGCAGATGCCAATATCATCTACTATACTAGCTAGCAGTGGCAGCTGCAAGTGAGAAAGTATGGAAGCAGGTAACACTATCTAGGCTACCACATCATCACTTCATGTCACCCTGAGCATGAAGCACCCGTGTGTGTGTATGTGTGTGTGTGTGTGTGTGTGTGTGTGTGTGTGTGTGTGTGTGTGTGTGTGTGTGTGTGTGTGTGTGTGTGTGTGTGTGTGTGTGTGTGTGTGATGTATATATACATATATATATGTGTGTGTATATATAGATAGATATAGATATTTGTGTGTGTGTGTATGTATGTATAAGTTTGTGGTCTCTAAAACAAATTTTCATTTTCATTTTAGGATATGCTTTCTGGTTTATTGAAGACAGCAGAAACCCTGAAAGTAAAAGGCTTGGCAGAAGTTTCAGGTGATCAGCCAGCACAAGTTGCTAACCCAATGCCACCCATTTTGCGGCTAGCAGTAAGTAATTTTTCCCTCACTATCTCTTTTTTTTTTTTTTTTTTTTTTTTTCAAGATACATCTTCTGTTTTTGCATGATAAAGATTTTTTTGTGTGTGTGATATTTACTTACATGATGCTACATTTATTAAATTTACCTATTTATCTCCAATATTTACTTTTATCATCAGTTGAATTCCTTAGTTTAAAATGTTATTTCATGGGTAAAAAGGTTGGACTAATCATCAGTTTTTTTTGTTTTTGTTTTTTTACTCACAGAAATGGGTTCTTTCTGTGACTTGAGCCAAATTAAGACAGGGAATAATAGAGATGGACACAGACATCATGCATGTATGCACCCCCCCTCCCCTCCTCCTCCCTCCCCACACACATACACACACAACCACATACACTGAGACAGACAGACAAACTGACAGACTGACAGACTGACAAGAGACAGATTGACAGTAAGAAAGTAAGAAATTAACAGTTTCATACAAAGTACCACGTATGCATATTATCGCAACTTACACTTATTAGGGTAAGGAACTATATGTTCATTAGAAAATGGTATTTTATTTTTCAGTTTGCACTTATTATTGAT